TCGGGCTCAGGCAATCCACTCACCTCAGCCTCCCAAAGGCGCGGGATTACAGGCTGAGCCACTGACCTCGGCTAGGAGGATTACACTTAAAGATGTCCTTACAAAATGTCAGCTCTTAGTATGTCCCTTCCATAATAGGTAGTTTGTGTCCTTTACTGACCTTCACCTCCCTTGGTTTATCATCTGCAAGAAAGGGACAGTAAGGCCCTTGGAATGCTCAGTCTATCTGTTCTCAAAATCACTGAATTCCCGGTCATCTAATTGGGGGTGGGGGTGGGGGTGGGAACAAAAAGTAGACGGAAGGTCAAGACAAGATCCCCAATGTCATCTTTTCCAGTTCTAACTGGAGAACTCAGGCTCTTCAAGGCACAGGGAAGGGCTGTCCAGATTTTACTATGAGAACTGGAGCATCTAATTTTCTTCTCTGGGAGTCAGTTTCCTCTTTGGAAAGAGGAAGCTGGGCTGAAAGGCTCCTGAGGGGAACATGGATCAGTGAGAAAAAGAATGTGCTCTGTTTAGTTGGGCGTGGTGGCACTAACCTGTGGCTCAGGAGGCTGAGGCAGGAGAATCCCTTGAGCCGAGTTCGAGGCTGCAGTAAGCTATGACCTCGCCACTGAACTCCAGCCTGGGTGAAATAAAACGTGCTCTGCAAGTGATTTTACTTCTCAGATCCTGCCACGCCTTCAAAATGAGTGATAATAAAACTGAATAATTGTACGTGGCTCAGAAGGCAGCTGAATTGAAGTATATAATTCACAAAGAATGCTTAAAGGCGTCTCGTGGATAAGATAAATATATTCGACAGGTATTACCATTGTTACTGTTGTTACTATCATTCCAACCCTAACATTCACATTGTCTGTATCAAGCAAGAGGGTTCCTTTTTGAATGACTTTAATTCACATAAGCTCTCAATAGTCTACCTAAAGAGCGACTCTAGAGCCCTGGATCTAGCACGTCCTGTGGCAAATCAGCCAGTTCTGCCTTGGGGAGAAGCCAGCCCCAGGTAGAACAGCCATGACAGTACCCGCCGAGACCTCCCTTCCCCTTCTCTTTCCGCGGTCGGTGAAGCCTGAAGCCGACTTCCACAGCCCCGCCCACCTCTACCCCCATTGGTCGTCTCCTCGCTGGCGTGACTAAGACCCCGCCCACTTCTCGCTAGGACCACTCTGAGGCGATCTCCGGAAGCGGAGGGGCCGCGGAGGAGGAGCCGCGATGCATCCTGGGCTTTGTAGTCCATCTGCACAGCTGCAGCCAGAGAGCGGGGCCTCACGAACTGTAGAACTACAACTCCCAGCAGCTGCGCGGCGAGCGGAGCGAAGGGGGAGCTCGCGTCACGTGGGCGTTCTGCCTGGGCGGGCTATTTCTCAGTGCGGTGGCGGCGGCTCGGGGGACCGGGGCCTTTTGTTTGGAGCGGCTGCGGGGGGCCCCGGAGCGGCTAGGCCGGCGGCCTTCCCCAGCTCGCTCGGTCCCGAACGCCCCTCG